GAATGCCTTTTCATTATAGAACAAAACAAAACACACAGAGGGATTTTGGAGTATTTCCAGCAACAGCAGTCAAGTTGGAAACTAGTTCAGCCACTTTATCTATCATCAGGAAAGTCCCAAAACCTCACGGGTACAACGTAAGCTTCCCTGCTATGTGTACAAAACTAACTGTTTATGTAAGTTTCACTTATCTTTACTGACCAGTTTGTGACCAACAGGTGACCAGGATATATATTGCGTGTCATTAGGCAGTAGTCCATCAACTAAGATAGAACTGGAAAAACAAAACCAAAATGCAGCTAAGAAAAATCAGTGAAATGCCATTTCATTGCAAAATAATGTTAAAACTACATGTTGTGCAAAAATTACTCACCTGCTATTGAAATCATAGATGTGGTATGAAGCTGTATAGGAATGCCTCCACAACTGCAAAAAAAAAAAATTTAATATTAAGAAAATAAATTTCACAAGGATTAATGTCTCTTAGATTTTGAATTACCTCCGAAATCCTCCTCATGCTTTTGCATGACAGACAGAACACGATGAATGTGCAAAGGTAACAAATCTCTGCAAGGTTTAAGAAAGACTAAAGAATCGCCACCCCTTTGGGGTCATCACTTAAATACTATTTATTTGATGGAGGCCACTGACTGATTAAAAACAGAGATACAGAGGCCAGAGATGCTGCAGATTTTGAGAAATCCTTGTAGCTACATGACAGACTATTGCAGTTATGCACAGTTAATCCTCCTCCTTCTGCCTTACTGGCACACTTGCTGTTTTCTGTCTTATTTTCCTTGGTGTGTTATTTAACTTGGCATCTTATTGTTTAGTGGTCCTCACAAGTCCCAGCAGCATTTCTGTAGCAGTTCCTCCAGTTCCAGGGTGACCTATTCACAGAATCACAGGGGTTGGAAGGGACCTCAGGAGATCATCTAGTCCAAATCCCCTGCCAAAGCAGGTTCCCTACAACAGATTGCACAGGAAAGGGTCCAGGTGGGTTTTGAACATCTCCAGAGATGGAGACTCCACAACCTCTCTGGGCAGCCTATTCCAGTGCTCTGTCACGCTCACAGTAAAGAAGTTCTTCCTTAAGTTTGTATGGAACTTTCAGTGTTCCAGTTTTTGCCCATTGCCCCTTGTCCTGTCAGTGGGTACTACTGAAAAGAGCCTGGCCCCATCTATTTGGCCCTTGCACTTCAGATATTTATAGACATTGATCAGATCCCCTCTCAGTCTTCTCTTCTCCAGGCTGAAGAGTCCCAGCTCGCTCAGCCTTTCCTCATTCATATCGTCATAGAAATAAACCCTTTCTCTCAGAAACCTGTTGCTTGAAGTTTGCATCACTCTGTGGGCAATTACAGAGAGAAAGATGATGATAATACAGACATATTTAAATGTGTTCACTACCTGGAGCTGAAGAGGTTTGATTTAGCCCACGGTGTTGACACGCTACAATAATGCTACCTTCTCTGATGGTTCTTGAAGATTTGTATGAATATATAAAACAATAACTTAGTACTACACAAGCAGATGGCTATTACATAAGAAGTGTCTACATCCTCATGATTCATTTTGTTACTCTGTTTTCTTGCAATAAAGATTAATAATAACATAACTTTCAATCACACTGTTATATAAAGGTTAAAAGATCTTGCATCTGCATTAAAATAAAATTAACTCTTATGACTGCAACAAATAACATACTATAGAGTCATAAATCATGAGTAGAGGGGAAGTCTAGGGTGGCTGGAAAAACATAAGGCATTTTTTGGCCACTAATGATGCAGCAAAAAGTCAAACAATTCAGAACAATTCAGAAAGACAAAAGGTACCTGGCTTGGCAGTACCTAGCCAGGAAGCTAAAACTGCAAAAAAGCACTGACGAAGCGCACGGATTGTGGCTAGCACAGTGAGAGAGGCACTCCTGGACTGCAAAGCCAGAACATGCAGACAGAGCTCAGTGACACAGTGCTTGAGTATCTGTACACTGCTCAAGTCAGCACTGGGTTTTTTACAAACAAACTAGGCAGCTCTCTAGAAAAAAAAAAAAAGAAAACAACAGCGTACACTGTAGGGCAAATTATCACCTTTGTTAGGTTTCTGTAACTGTCCTCAAGTGGCACACAGAGCCAGGTTTTCATGCCAGCTGGCAGAAACCTAGGTTGACCTTTGTTGCCTGGTTCAGCACCAAGCCAGGATGAGGCATTTTGCTGGAGGTTTTTCACCTGCTTGCTGACAGTAGGGAACAAGGACGCCCAAGCCCACTCCAAGTGCAAGAAGACAGCAGATGCTGCTTCCTATTCACCTCAGTTTTAAATTCTTATGTCCTAACACCACAATGTAACACCTATATATATACACAGCATACAGGTACAAGCATACCTATACAAGCATATCTACTCAACACTTCTCCGTACCCACACAACTCCTTGGACAGTCATGCCTACCTACTCTGCTACCCTGTCTCCCCAGGTGAGCCATCCAGCCTCACTCTCCTTGGGATATCTCTCCATCCACTTTTTATCCAGCTTCTATTCTCAGCTGAGCAGTCATTTCTCTTCTGCTCACAAACACCAGTCTCTCTTCTCTTCCTCCTGCCTGTTCAACTTCACTGTTCCCCTGCAGACATCCACCTCACTCATCCATTCTCCTTGCATTTCTCTCACATTCTCTCAGCCTCTGCCATCCCAACTTTCAGGACCACTTTCTCACTCAGTTGTTTCCAACCTTTATTTCCCAGCTTCATCCTCAAGGCAGTAAAGCGCACTTGTACCTTTGTATAGCTGTACTGCAGAAGAGCAAACTTTTGGTCAGGAGACAATATAACTGTAGTTGCCTTGTATTTATCCTGTCAACAAAGGGCAAAAGGAACACATAAAGCACTGACTCCAAAGAAATGTGCAGAACAAAAATATTAAATTCAATACCTTTCCCAACATCTGCATATATTATATATAAGTCAACATACTAATGTTGTATTCGCCAAGATTACTGAGGATGTTCCGGTGTCAGCATTGATACGTAGGACATCTCCATTAGCTGTTTTGTGAAGATACTGATTTCCTAGAAGAACAAAAGAGTTGCTAAGAAACAATAAGTCAAATGCTCATCAGTTACTTCTCTTTTCCCCTCATGTTTTTAAGCAGGACGTAAATTTCAAAGATCTGGTCAATGTTGTGTTTACCACTTCTGTAATTGAAGGATGCACAAGAACATTCACAAAACGTAGTCCTGGG